AAGAGAGTTTACAGAAAAAAAGTAGAGCATTCTGTGTCCTGAGAAACATTACTAGACCTGGTGTTGCACTAGTCCTGTGACACCACTCACAGCACTGTAAACTCAAACCTTCAAGTCTATCACTAGTATGCATAAAAGAGAGAGTGATGAGGATAGGGAGTGAGGGGATGGGGGGGTGCAGTGGCGTAGATCACGGCTGGCGTGGCTTCCTTCTCCGGCGAGAAACTACACCACCTGAAGAATCACCCTGGAGTTAAATTTCCTCTAAAATCTGGAATGAACCACTGCGTAAGTGCTCACTGCAGAACTTCGCTTGACGAATGTTGACACATCTACATCAGGGGGAGTATGCCCTGCCTCCTGCACCACCATGGTGAAGGAGCTGGAATTCAGAAGTTAACCTGCAAAAGGGTTTCTCCATGCATACCTCCGACGTATCAATCAATCAATCCAGGCACTCCAACATGACATCTGACAGTCGCGACATCTATGAACCATCAAGGGAACGATAGTCATGACGTAACTAGGACACTCCGCGAACTACTGTTGAACTCCAGTCATTAAACCATGATGAACGTCGCCGCGGGCGTCTGTGTTGAAAAATCAAACGAAGTACTGTAAATAATGAAAGGGAATTTATTCTACATTTATTTTGGCGAAAAATGGCTCCTATTTTTTGTATCCAAGTGAGAAGCTGTCCTTGGTCGGCAACGACAATAAGTTCAACGAATGGTGAAATCTGGTTACCTCCACAGATAAATTTGGCGCCAGCTTTCTCTCCAAGTGCATGACTCTCAAGGTGAGTGACATGCACACCTATTCACTCGAAACACAATGCTTGCAAATTTAACCCTCTCAGTTTGAATTTGCTACTTGTTACCCATAACTCAGCATTCTTCCAGTGCTTCACGTTCCCGAGTAGAATGAAGGGTTGGTCTTCAGTTCGTTAAATGACGCTAACGTTTCGAAAACATGAACATGACAGGATTAAGATATATTTGATCCCCTAAACAGCCTTTATTCACATACTCGCACAGTTAAAAAGCCTGAAGACACAGTAGGAGTTGTAAGTTTCCATTTTCTGAAATTTATCATATAGCCACAAAGTTATAACGCTCAGTTACTTACCGCAGTAAGAACGGAACAGTTCACAGATAATAGAGACCAGCGAGGGTTCACAGATTAACTGAACCAACTTTCTCTGGATTTCAGATTTCTTTGCAGGCTGCACCAATCTCAGGACCCGACAATATTTGCACGCCATACTTTCTCGTCTAGAACAATCCTACATACAATAGGACGCGTATCGAAGAAAAACCAGCTGTATACAAAGACAAAATATTTCAAAATCCTTTTCGAAACTACATTCTGCTTATAAGGTAATGTTACTACACAAATTCCAACTTCACCATGATATATTTAGACGCAGAAGTGTCATCCGCTGACAAACTCGAACCCTCACATCAAAACTTACCTGGCCATTTTGAGCAAAATTCGATTAAAATTCCCGTCACAAAAACAAAAAAGCGAAAACGAACAACGGATGTAACCACTACATATTTCCAGAGCTGATTTTATGCACCACGACGACTTACAGGCAACGAATAGCAGGCACGTCCATTTATCACGAGAAAAAACAAACAATGGAATGCCCAGAGAGAAAACAAAAAGAACTCCGATAAACGATTCTTCTCTGTCAAGAATCTCGACGAAAATTCCGAAATACAGTAACAGCGGAACAAAACCACCTTCCATCTTCCAAAGGTGAATCCTGCACGGTGGCAGCGATGCTTCAACACATGACGCATAGGCTTCTCACGCTCTTCGCTTGGATTTCGGACCCAAGATTTTCTTCCTTTGTGAGTACATATGTCCCATCATGACGTACATCACTGAAACAATATCACAATGAACAAGTGTAAGGCACAGGAAACTCATAAACTTCGAATTCATTCCAAATTTTTCTATTTATAAAATACAGTTCAGTATTCACACGCGTACGGGTCGCATCCAGATTTTTGAAGAAACTTAGTGTAAAATTGTAATGGCCGCGGAAAGTTGTCAAAACGTTCCGGGAAAACATGGCCAATAAGCAGACGAAACCTATCAGGTTTCGGGATATACCGTGAAGCATCTGAAGAAACAATATTGAGCCGATTAATTTGCTACAAGAGAAGCTTCTCCGGGATCCATCGCTGCACAAGTGATGCGGCCTGCGTTCACAGATAAATGATGAAGTTTAAAAATTATCTTGATCGATACGCCTCGGCAGTTTTTTCGGCGCGATAAAAATGACAAGAGACCATTATTTTGGGAACGAAGTGCTAGCCTCATTACGAGCGTTCGATTCAACCGACGTCAAAAGGCACGAAAAATGCAACATTTGAAAAACCGTACAGAAACCACCCCATCTCCCAATACAATGCACTGAAAACTTATGTGCGGCCTATTCTAGACATTTTACTAATATAACTAAAATACAGTTTCAAAAATCAAAATCAACAAGTTTTCACGTTGCAGAGACCGTATTCATCTCATGCACTAAAGCCTTTTCCAAAGATTAATTCTCTTCAAATTACCGCCTAAAATCAAAACGATACGCAAACCTCGAGTGCAAACATTTATTTCACCGGTACCCTGCGCACGTAGAAAGATGCACTTACTTGGAAAGCAGAAGAACAAGAGGTAAATCCGCAGAAGACTAGGCAAGTGAAACGCAAAATTCCACGCGTTTGGCAGACCAACGGAAAACTTTCCCGTTTCCTCGAAAAACGGCAACGAACGGAACGCCACGAATGCCTCCAAGCAGAACCCCAACGGATACAACGGGATCCAAACAGTGTACCGAAGCCATGTAACCAGGTCGAATTGTATCCCGTACACGTGGAACATGTAATACGAGTAGCGGAATAACTCGACCAACGAATACACTACGACCAAGTAGAACACTGCGGGGAATTTCTGCATCCGTTCCTCAGCATCGATGAGGACGAAAAGGAAGAAAAATCTCCCGAAAGTTTGTATGAAAGAAATCCAGGGACTTCCCCTGGTCCATTGTAATGCAGCGTGTAACGCCTCCGCAAACTGGAATACGGTGTTCATCTTCATATGCCATCCTATCGCCTCCCACGAAGTTTTTAACGCTTCTGCGGAGAATTCAGATAGGTGAAGTTTTCCCGCCTTTGTAAATACTGATTTTATGCATCTTTGATACAACATATCGAAGTGGTTTCGAAAAGAAAACTGGATTATACGGAAATGGGAACAGAAAGGACGAATTCTTCATCTACCCTAACAGCATCAATCGCTTTCTTTCACGGGTGCTGTTACAAAAACCGTTCTCGAAAACCCAATGATTCGTCGAACAGTACACTGAAATTGTTGATCGCACTCCACTGATCTAAAACTAATGTAAAACAGTAAGTATTTATTTTGTGTACCCTAATTATGGAAAGTGAAACGAACATTGATTCATAGCAAGAGCAGGGTACACTTTAATAATGTTCATTCAACACACATTTAAGAATAGTAAGAGTCTCGAGCAAATATGACCAGTCCATATTGATCAAACATCAATAGTAAACAAAGTCTAGTGATTTTTTAGACAGCATCACAACGATATCTTCAAGAATTGCACAAATAACAGAAGAAATTCAGAAAATATCTGCAGATGTTGCCATGCATACTCACCCGAATGGAACGCGGTTGAACACAATATACAGGTGGACTCTCTCAAACGAAATTCGAGTGACCATAAAAAATTTTTGCAGAGAATTTCGTTGTAGACACGATCGTTGTAGAGAGAGTTCACCTGTAACTGTAACATCTCAACAAATGAACACGAAGCTCATCAGATTATAAATCCTAAACTAAAGGAAATCGCGAATTTGAAAAAAAAAAACTGAAACAAGAGTAAAATATCAATGAAAAATATCGTAAGTCCAACTCGGACATACGTGCCTCTAATTTGTACGTAAAAACTTATCTATTTTATGGGATAATTATCTTTCAGCAAAATACTGTATATCGACAGCACTGCCGCATCCCTGACAAAATTCGATTTCTGAATGCAGATTTTACAGGACAGAACCTATTCAAGTTGATGAACTAGAAACCGTAATCAAGTATTATATGAGAAACAAATCGAACTTTACCAACGAAACAGACAATTTTCTGATCTTAACATGCCAAGGCGGATAAAAAAAAATCTCTCACCATTTTTGTTCTGGGCGTAGTTGATTCCCAGTGTAGCCAAGATGAAACCAAATGTAACAAGCAACCACAAGTTGTACATGAACAGGTAGAGTTTTCTGGAATTGCGAACTAAAAATGGAAAACTCACAATAAAATTGATTTTCACACCTTGAAATTGAACGCGCGCTTTTCCCGGTAAAAGTAAAATCAAATGAAAAACGAACCTAGTTTTTTACCGGTTTCTTCTTCAAGGAGCTTGTTATAAAGATCTGGATAATCTTCAAAAACGTCTCGTCGTTCAATTTCCTCGTCATCCTCGGATTGCCATTTGTCAAAATCTGTCTTGAGCCACGATAACTTTTTGTGGTCCGGTTCAAGTATCCGATTCCACCATTCAGGTATACATTTCTGGAGGCTGATCTCCACACAACGATCCAAAACCCGATACTGACAATCCTGGAAATTCAATGGAAAAGAAGATTGATCGTAACAGAAAAATACGACAGAAACAAACGAAAAATAATTGTACCTGAAGAGGCTTGAACAACTTCAAAAGAAAACTGTATTCATGGGTTCCACGGACCCCGAGGCCAATAGCTTTGAACTTGAGCTCATTGCCTTCATACGACACGTCAGCTGCCTGAAAGGTAAAAATGTCGTAAATTCCTTCGCTCGTTTCATTTAATTTAAGTCATTGCAGTCTTTCAGCTCACCCGAACATCTTTGAGATCCACTCTTAAAGAAATGCCAGTCTTTGACTCCGCCCAATACACAAACGGCGACAGAGTTTGATTCATGATTTCACAACACCTCTCACGATTTAATCACTCACACAACAAACACATCCGTTTTACCTTTCGAAAAACACGAAGAAATGTTTCGAACTTCTCGGAGTTGAATGACTGTCCAAGAATGGCTGCTATCAAGACTAACGCATCCCTGCTGATTTAATTAGGAGTCTGGGTGAATACACGTATACCGTGCATACCCTTGATTTCGGAGCGAATAATCTGAAAAAGAAACGATAAGATTATCAAATTTAATTTCACTGACACTATACCGTATTTACGTGATCAAATTTCAACCGATCCATCTTAGATTTTAATTTCACAAAATCACGACACGTCTTGGAATAGTGGACAAAATGTTATTTTATACGAAACTTGCTGAGAGTCGGAAAAATGTGCATCCAGTGAAAGGATCAAAGCACAAAAATATTTTCCCAGTAAGAATTACATTTCATCGTAGATCTGCACCCGAGAAAGAAAACTGAAGCTTTTAAGAGAAGGAGAATCTCGCGAATTGAATCTGGGCATTCATTCATTTCTTTTCAAGGTAAATTTATTCGTAAGAAATAATCCCAAGATCAATTGAATTTTCAACACTCACCACTTTCAACGCGTAAATTTGAAAGCTCGGTGCTTAAAGATACAGTATGATTTAATTTAATATTTCGCGTACATTTTGGTCCACTCCGCGCGAAAGAATTCCTAGCGTTAAGTAAAAAAAATAGCACTCCTTCGCCCAAAACATTTTCCAATTGAAAATTAGAACAATTAATAAAATAAGTGGGTTTCTCCATTCGTGAAAATCTCGTTTCCTAAATTCACTGCTCACCGTTTGCACAAGACGATGCTGCTTGACTACAGGCATCCCTTTGAACTCAGCATCCGTCACATGTACTTCATACATTGATCCACAGCCGCCTGAAATATCCTGAACTGTCACTGAACCTTTCGGAAATCGTTTCTCCAGGATTTCCACTAAATTTGCCTCTCCCGGGGTTGTACTTGGCTGAGCAGAAAACTACGTCAACGCGTAAAGAACAAGTCATCATGACACGACAACTCTAAGCGTAGACAGGAACAACTCACATTTGAAATTATAGAAGCTCCGAATCTCGAGAAGCTGCTCCGAAGAATCGGCTCTATTCTCCCTGTGATTCGAAAAAAGAGCATTTTGTTCTCTGCAGTCGAACAAAAATATCAGATCAAAACGGATACAGGTGAAAATGACCTAAATAGAAAGAAGACTACAAGGATGCAAACAATGTTTCATTCTCTCAGCTACGAATTCGAACAGACTTGCGCAAAAAATGTTTTCCGCCAGCCGTAAGAATGAATTCAACTTCAGAACAATACAGTATTGCAGATCCGGAACTGATCAGCCCCTTTGCCTTCTTTCTTTCAGACACTGATTGACGACTTGAATGAGAGCGTCGTTTTCTAGAGCAGCCGCAACACGTTCTTTATCGGCCAACTGTTTTGTAATCGCTGCATCCGATGTGTGGCTTCCAGGAGTTACCCTTATATCCACCTTCGGAGAGTTTATCATGCTTGATGAATAATGAACCACGAACCAATTGAACTACAATCCAAAAGATTCTCGCAACAAGAACATCTGAAAGAGCAATTTTGTGGGTCAATAGCACAAAAGCAGGGATGAAAAAAAAACACACACAAACATAGGGGTGCATAAAAATAGAAAATGAATTCCTGAATGCTTGCATAGTCAATTCAAGAATCGTTTAAAACTTCAAGAAAACCTCTTTTAGTCGCTAAGAATTTTCTACAACAGCGGCTCTGACTTTTCGATCACCAACTTTGGGCGAGTTCGGTAGCATTCGAACTAAGACTATTAAAATCAGAAAAAATTATTAAATTCGGTACATGGTCACAAAAAATGATGGAACACATTTGAAGTATTTTTTAGCTCTCGGGCAGCCTTCAAATTCATGAAACATAGGAGTGTAAAACTAGATTTCAGTTTCCCCACAGCGACGAAATTTCTTTTTGCTCATCTTTTCTCGATTCAATCCAAGGAAAATTTGCAGCTGATCCTAGCACTTCGTAAAATTTATGGTCAATTCTCTTGTTCCCAAAAAGACTCCGACACAGGAACAAGACTGACGAAACTCATGAACGAACTGTATCACAGTAGTTCCAATTCCGAGACACATGAACTTCAGGTCTTTGCAATATTGTGTTACAGTATAATCAACATAAAACTCGAGTTGCTGCAGGCACTTAATCATAAAAAGCACAATCACAGAATTAGGCAAACGAATTCTCACCTTAAATTTGTCCGGCAAACTTCGCAGCAATTTGACCCGTATCGAAAGTCCGATCAAAGTCGCCATGCTGCAATGCGGAACAGTGGGAGTGAACTCGATGTCGATCACATTGCCAGTAATGCGTATCTTGTCTTCTTCCACGACAGAGAGTTGCTCCAAAGTCAAGGGATGCTCGGGATCGTTCAGGTTTCGGATAAGATCAAAAATTTCCCCAGGTGTTACTTCGTCCACTAAGGAATCATCCTCGTCCGCTGAGCTGATCACTCTAGAAGTACTGACGTGTTTCACAGACGGATTCGCGTTATCAAGCGTTTTCATCTTTCCACCACCTCCCTAAGACCATTGGCGCGAAAGGACGGACACGAAAGAGGCCAGATATAGTTGCATATAAGAATATGCGAGAGAACTTTCTAGTATTACCATTCTCAAGATACCAAAAAATAGCCCAAACCAATTTCTTGATCACTCAACAACAAAATGCAATCGATGCGATCCTAATTACAGGAAACCAGGCCAGGCGTTCAGCGACACTCTGAAATACGTATTATTGGTCGAGCTTCATTACTTCGAGTCCCAAACCAGTTCTTGCATGCGTCTGAGCATCAGAAGAGGTGGGTTTCATGTAATTCATGACCATTTAAAAAAATGGCCATAAAATGAAATATTTTAAATTAGAAAAGTGCGGTGCAGTATTTCATTCAGTAAAATCGGAAGACAAAGAAATGTGTCGAATAGAACTCAAAATTGTCGAATATTTCAAATGCTTCGCCGAACGCTCAGCCTGACTTCCGGGTGAAAAAAACCAATCATCCGTCAAAAACTGCTTTAAAATCATCAAACCAATGCCACAAATTATCTGCCAGGAAACTGAATTGGCACAATAAATTCTCCCGCAACGATTCGCGAACAAAACGTGGAATCACAGATTTCAGAAAACTCAAGTAACAACGAGATGCTACCGATTCAACAAAAAACCTTCAAGGTTCTGTTCCCCTAAAAAACAACGAACACGGTCTCAAAATTTTGGACCTCGTTTCGAACCAAAAATCGCATCGGCATCCGGAGCACCTTTCGGGTGTTGATACTTCGGTTTCCGCTCTCTAGGAAAACACACTGTTGCTGGTCTCTGTGCCTAAGGGAATCGCAGAGTAGATTAGAATAGAGATATCTGAGATCATTCCCAACCAAAAGTTTGTCGAAAAATTCAAACCTTGCGAGCAGCTTTGAACAAATTTATTTCTTGTGATAAAAAAAATTTAAGAGAACTGACAAGCAAACCAAAACTAGGGGATAATGCATCGCTAAATCAAACTGACCGCTTGCAGCATTTCCATGAAATCTTCTTGTTCCTGCCGTTCATTGATGTCCAGTGTGACACGTTTGATGTGTTCCTTCTCCGCTCTTTCAACCTGCAAGGAAAATTGAATTTTTGTAAAAATTTAGCAACAAGGTCTTCACCAAGAGCAAGATTATGTAGTTAGTGCATACAAACCTCCTCTCTTGATCGTAGATTCTTCGCCAAATCAGAATCCACAGGCACTATTATATCCTTGAATTGCTGCTTGTTGCCCTTCCGAGTCATCAGTACGAACTTCATCGTGCTCGTTTCTACTTCCGGATTTTGAAGTTGTTCTTCAAGAATAAAAGAGCATCATCCGAAATTTTCATAAATAAGTAATCTAAAATTCGAGTACAATTCAATTTTATACGATAGCAATGAAGAAAAAAAGGTGCAGTACTGTACTGTATTTCAACACTTAGCTAAATAATTTTTCTTCTTATTTTAATTCAAGTGAAAATATTGTACAACAGTAAATTCGATTATTTCTGCATAAAATTGGGTCAAATTTCAGCACCTCAAAAATATGCATTTCTGTACGTCTTTTCAGGCTCTCACAGCTTACCGTAAGTTTTGCGCTTGTTGCTGGACCGCACGTGGATCGGAACAGCAATATTGACAGACGACGGAACTTTTGCAGTTTCTTTCGATCGTTCCAAAATGCTTTCCGAAACGAGTTTATCGAACGAGGATACAAAGTCATCATTTTCGGGACACTCAATCACTTCACGCTTCAAATCCGTCACACGAGTTTCCACATCTTCGAGCTGATACGGCGCTGCAAAAAGTTTTAGAACTTATTTTTGAAAATCCTTCGGAGCTTCTTCGCGCCTTACCTTTTTCCCCGCTGTCATCGTCGTCGCTCGAATTTTCATCATCTGTTTCATCTTCCTTGTCACCAACGTACATTTCATCATCATCCCTACGATCTTCATCGTCATCGTCCAAAACGTCCGCACTGATTTCGTCATCTTCCTCCGCACCCTCAGAATATGACTAAAAAAAATGAAGTTTTTCAATCTTCACCAATCCATGATTCCAAGAAAAATCGGAAAAACGGTGATTTTCGACACATATTTATCAACTAACCGCGGTGTTGGAGGCATCTCTGTCTTCCTCGTGCGTTTCCTCGGCTATGGGTGCCAAATCCCCGTCACCTTGTGAAGGAAAGAAAGCCTGCAAGGTAACACCTGGGGGTAGAACAGCTTCGATTTGCTTGCTGAGATCCAACTCAAGGTCGTTGACTGCTTTTTCGGCATCTTGCAGATTTTTTGCGATCTTCGTATGAGGCATCAATTCTTTGAACAAGTCTTCAATGGTGAATGTGAGAGTTACAGGGAACTTCGAGCCATCCGGACCCCAGGCATCATGCCCCTTCTTGTGCCAGTAGTACCTCTAACAATATTCAGGAATGAATGAATGACGTGATCTTCTCAAGTTTTAGGAGTCACCACAATGTTATCAACACGTGCAAATGGAATCTAAAAGTTGATTATTAGCAAGGTATTGTGGATCTAACATTTTCTACCCTGCTACGCGGAAATAAGAATGAGATATAATTGAAAATTATTTAAGGAACCTGCAATATTAGTCTATTCGTGACATCGTGAGCATTAGGAGGAACTGCCAGGAAATCTTCATGTTCGACATTTTTGCTGAAAATCCTGGAAATGGCTTGAAATTATTCCATCGAGAATATTCAAAAATTGATCTAGGGCTTCTACCGACAGCTTCTCCTTTGCTACATCCACGGTCACAACATTGTCATCTGTTATAATATTTCCAACTTCAGCAACTTTCAGAAAAAATAATCATGACAAAATAATTTCCAACTACTGTATCAGTATCAAAAACTATCCAGGAATAAATACATTAAGGAGCTTTACACCAAAGCAGTTCTTCTAATTTATTACCGATTTTTCCAACATCCGACGGAAGAGCGAAGTCTAAAGCATGATCACGCATTGTTACTCGTCATCATTTTGACAGAATGGAATGAGTATATTTCTTTACATACTTTTCAAGTGAATTCAAAATTACCGGGTTCATTTCATTCATTTACACTGAAGTCTTGCAGGGAACGTAGGGCGATTCACAAGACTTCCAAAAAATTCTCCCAGTATTGCTTCCAAAAAAATAAGCGAACGAATAAAAAGAAATACCTGGAAGTACAACATGAAACAAGAAAGCTTCCTTTTCGTCGAGCCAGCAACGAAGAAACTGCCGCAAACGGATAACAACTGGCAAATCAGCTTGATCCGAAACAAATTATCCGGAGGATCCAAGGGATTCCATGTTGGAAACGGAACGCTCGCAAATGTTATCAGAGAATACAATGTCTGAAAAATTTAAGCAAGCATTTAAAATTCAGAAAGGCAACATAAGGAAGATTGAACTCACATTGAAGATTACAGTTGAATCCACAAGCCGAACTTTGTACAGCTCCCCGAGATACGAAACGGAAGCAACGCGTCGTTGGAGATGTTTTGTTGAAGCATTAACTTCAAGACCACACCTGATTTCTTCTAAAATTCGATCCACGACTCTGAGCGCAACGTCTTCCTAATTTTCAAAAAATATCCTCCGATCAGCGATTTTTCCCGCGAAATGTTCTTGTCAAAGTTACGTACCTGAGAGTTGAGCAGACCACAAACCAACGCAGCAAGAAAGCGAATATGATAGAATTTCACAGCGAATGGCTCCGACAAAAGCTTTACAGCGAAATTGCGCACACTCGCATCATGCCAGTCGAGCTTTCGCATGCTCTGCAAAACTTTCTCCACCGTCGAGCTTTCCAAGGTTTCAAGAATTAATGATTTCATCTGAAACGAAAAATAAATTAAATTTTGAGGAATTCAAACCGTGATCTTTTAAATCCCGATCATACCCATAAGAGTTGAGGAGGAAGTTGCTCAATTTCCTGCGCGGATATAGCTGGTAAGTCAGGTGGATTCACAAAATAATAGGCGTTCTCCACCATTGTTTCGTATCGCGAGTCCAAAGATTGTACAGTTTTCTTCCTCATCAACTGCTCCATGAACAGCTTCATTCGAGGATGCGAATCGGGAGAACGGAATAGATATCTTCCGGCAGTTTCCAAAAAGTTGCAGGCCATTTCAATGTTGTGATGCATGAACTCGTACAGGAGTATCCGAAAACACAGCAAAGCTTCTGACTTCGGATACATTTGGAACTTGACCAACTCCCCAATGAATCTCACAACTTTCACCTACCGGAAGAAAAGGTTTGTTCATGAACTTGAAGCATAACAATGATTTTAACGTGGCAGTTTTATAAAAACTTATCAACAATGAAATCTCCAAAAAATACGATAGGTATTGAGAGGTTTTTCAGACATTCGGTGAATTTCTCGAAAGTACGGAGTTCGTCTCAACTGCGGCGAATGAAATCTTTCGCTTCAACGTGACCTTTTAAATTCTTGCTCAAATGGCACAGTAGAGCAAATTAAATCCACTGACCTTGGTTTCGATGTTGATTTGATCCTTCTTTCGTAATTGGAAACGAAACTCTTGCTTCAACATATGTACCAGATCAATGGCAACATCCGGCATGCAGGGATGCAATGTTGCCACCAGCCGGGCATAAAAAGGCAGTAAGTCCTGCCTTGTTCGGGGGACAGAAAACAGGGCTTTAACGAGCTTCCTCCGGTTGTTCTTTGTATTCAACTCCATGCAAAACTTAGTCGCAGCTTTATCCATCAATTCCCGGCTAATGCAGTTTGGCAACGACGTGAGGAATGCATCCAGCAGCATTTTACTCGCGGCATTAGGTCGCACGGCCTTCGATTTCGGGTTTTTCGTTGATGCCGCATCAACGTCTGCCTTTTCAGCCAACTCTTCATCGTCTTCGGAAGGCTTATTGCCTGCGTCTGAGTCGTTCGTTCCTTCTGTTTTCAGCCCAGTTGCTGATGTGTCCTCGTCCGGAACAACGTTTGATTCGAGTTCCATTTGGGCGATCATTTCGTCATCCAAATTGTCCTCTTCGATGTCGGGCATCTATTTTTCCAATGACAAAAACAAATACTGTAACATACAATACAGCATGTAATGTTCGAGACTTGAAAGAATTTCGCACAACATCCGACAATTTGGGGCAGGTCTAGATTTGAATGCGTTTATTCCAGAAGTTCTTTGAGAACTTCAAAATTTTCGCTGCACAAAAATTAATCGAGAAAACCCCTTTTGAAATTCATAAAACCACAATTCCAAAAATCGCAGCTATTTTTTTGGCGCCTAAACGGTAATATAATATGATTCCCAACAATTCAGCAGAGTATTTTTTTTATTTCGCAGCATCAAAACAAGTACTGTACCGGTGCTGCTTGTTTCACGTCAAGAACACATTTGAATCGCATAGGAAATAACGAAATCCCTTCAATTTTATTTTGTTTCACAAAATGACAAAAATATATATTTATTCAGACGAATTTCTCTGTATAAGATAATTCATTGTCATGGATTATCCATGTTGCAAGGCCAGTTAAATTGAATTTCAAATTCTTCAAGATGAATTTGGGCTTGGCATATAATACAGAGGCAAAAAAGGAAGGGTACATTGGATCCCAATATTTGAACTTTGATTTCCTATCAAGAAACGGTAGAAACCATTGGGTTTCCATGTCTCTCAGAGATGTAAAAAAATCTTGCGGACACAGTTTTCCCCTCCCTGCTCTTCTATGATAACGCATTAACATGTAATGGAATCTACCATGGATTTATATTTCGTTATTTCTTTTTTGCTACAGGGTTAAAAAGAAGTCATCTGTAGTTGGCGAACATGCAAAGATTTACAGGATTCCTGTGAAGAAGTATAAAGTTTTTGGAAAACCTCGTTGCATCATTCGATCAAAGGACCCTGAAACCCAATTTTTCCTCCTCGATTGAAATAAAATTCGATGAACTGCGCTGCTTTATCCCGGAGGATGAACATAAGGGAGAAAAATACAGCTTACAACTGAGGTATTCCTCCACATATACATACGGTATTCACCATTTTTCTGTGTAATAAATTTGAAAAAAATTTTGAATCGATAACTGGTATTGAAAAGAAAGGAGTAAAATCGAACACAAAACATTCAAGGGCACTAGGTTTAAAACTCCAAAAGATCATCGTACCGTAGACGTAGCTTTTTCTGAATCTTTATATAGAATAGACGGGACGAGAGTTCTCAAATCCACGAGATCTTCATAAAAGCTCCGTGCATCTTCATCATCCCACAGACCGTCCCTGCCGTCCTCCTTGCCCATATCAGAGAGTGGAACAGAAAACTCAACGTGCATTTCTTCTTCATCATCAAACGCTGCAGGCGAAAAAAAGATCATTTGAAATTTTGCAAAATTTTGTCTTTTTCGATTTACTCACAGGCAGCAGGCAAAACGGGAATTTCTTCCTCCAAAACTTCAGCCAACTGCTGAACATTGGTCATCACTTTAGACTGCGAAGCTCTCATGGCCTCCCCCTTCTCAAGACGATCTTTCGGAACTTCTCCACGAGTCATGAGGATCTTTCTGGTAGTTTTCTCGAAAGCATTCAACTCTTTTTTACTCTCAACGAGATGCTTTGCTAATGCTGAATAATATTCCTTTAGCAGATTTCGAAGATTCCTTTGCTTGTCAGCTGGCAGGAAGTGGTTGGTCATGGCGGCACTGATGTCGATATTGTGCTTTTTGCTCAAAGCTTTCACTTTTTTCGGCACAAGGCCGGCATAATCCCGACCACAGTATTTGCAAAATGATAAAATAATGGAAATGTTACTGTACGATTTTGTATCCTTGTCCATGTTGACGAGCATCGTTAGAACCATTCCTAGGATTTGCAGACCGGATTTCAGCGAGAAAAGTCCGTGCGAAACAAGATCAGCGAAAAAACGCAAGTCTACTCTCAGCTTGGACGGGTTTGAAACACTTTTGTCTTCCTTCTTAATGGCAAGCACTTTCACCCAGTCTTCGTAAAAATGCATGGAAAATTCGGCGTAGGTTTGGTGAATTTCTGACGCAAGACTAACTGCCGAGGGAACGTCTGTCAACTTTAGCTTTGCTTCCACCAGCGCGAGTGCAACTTCACTCACGTACTTCGTTAGATTCAAGGACTTCATTTCATTCTTGATGCTGGGACACTGCTGCTCCGTGAAATTACGGAGTTTTCGAATAAAAGCATTATTCTTTTTCAGACTAGAATCCAATTTGCGGAAATCTGATTCTTCTGGTCGCAATTCCGCAGCAATTGAGTTCCGCTGTCGAGTGGATTCCCTGATTTCAAGGCGAACTGCGTCGTCTGCTAAATAATCCGTGACAAATTTCTAAACGACGAAAGAACAGGCTTTGATTTCAGACGCGTGATTCACTAAGTTGAAACACCTTACCCTCTCTTCTTCCGAAATCAGCTGCTCATCTTCAATTTTTTTTGCAAGCTCAGAAGCCCGCTGGTCATCATCAGCTTCATTGTCAACAGGTTCCTCCGCATGCGTTTCATCGCGCGAAATGGATACGGCTTCAGGGGCAGAGGGCTTCCCTTCGGGTTTGCGCCATTCTTCTCGATCTCTTCGGTAACTCTTCCCGCGTTTCTCCACTTCTTTCATCTTTCACGATTTTATTACAATCTGCGACGAATAGAGTTATCCAAGGCGATCATACTAAATGTAAAATTCACGCAGTCCTCACACCATTTCATTCAACACGCGAAAACAAAATCAAGTCACCATTCGAAGGGATGACCTGTTACATGCATCGATTCAACACATAACATCCAACAACAAAAATCAATGACTGCGAACAGAAGGAGCATAATCTAGGGGGAATTTGAATGAATGTCCCCCATCACCGAATATATTCGGGAGATGACCAGCATTAGGAACTACGTTCCACGACAGTGTCAAGGTAACATTTTTGTTCCCAACAAGTCCCTTGCCATCATCCCAGAAATAATACTTCGTATTGAGGCCGGAGTAGTTCAAAATAGCACTTTCTCCTCTGCGGATGATTTTATCCCATAGTACAACCTGGTTTAGCTTATTGTTTGATGACTGATACTCCGCGGTGAGGTACAGGAACAGTTGCTTTACGTTCCAGTTGAACAACGAGGTCAGGTCAGCTTCCAGGTCGAATGTAATGTATCCAAGATCGTTCATTTCCCTGTTCGCACTGTAGTCAGGAACATTCTTCACGACGACGGTCACGGTTTTCAGAGCAACATCTGCTTGATACGCTCTGAAGTATGTCGACAAAAAGCACAGGAAAGTTAATGCCGCCAGGACACTCAGGGTAAACGCGAGAAGCGCATTTGAACGCGAAAAGAATGTGTTCATCTGAAAAAATCAAAGCAATTCATTGAAAAGCGAGGACTTTCATTTAGCGCAAAGTAGGTACAGAAAAATCCCATTCACATGACATGTACAATGCCTTGTACATGGTTTGATACTCGATCTAAAAACGCGAAGTATTCCACGCTAGCAAATAGCGATGTTTCCTTAGTAAATTCATCAGGACAACGCTGCCTTAACCTCATACTGCCAGACGTATGTAGGCAGCCCTAACAGCTACTTCACGATGATCCCACAGAACCCATCTCGATAGCAAAGAGACTTACATGTCTGTACACCATACTGAATAGGTAGTAAGTCCCATAAAGTACTGTACTGTAAAGTACTGTACTGTGTAATGTACAGTGAGACCCCCACATGCGGACCCTCGACACGGGGACAATTCAACATAGGAACATTTATTTTTCAACAAAAAAAACCATAAAAAGGCTCAATATAAAGACACTGACTCAACATGAGGACATTGCATGATAAAATTGCCAATACATTTTAGGAAAATTGACTTTCATTAGGCTTAATTGCAAGAAACAGATATTTCCAACCCTCACATCTATGCAAAAAAAATTTTGTTGGTACTTTTCCTATCACTTTCCCATCCATTCAGCTAATTTAAAAAATTACCTACAGCACAGCAGAGGGACTTCCTTCTCTCTTGTGACTTGGATATATTATCTTTACAGATGCCAACATTTCAATGAACTGTACTGTACAGTGGTATACTATTCAATGCTCCAAATGTTCTTATTAGGTAAGAAAGATATCCACTGAATCAAATTCAAGTGGCAAAAAAAATTTTTTTCATGGAATTTTAAAGAATATTTCTTCCATAGAATATCAATTAAAATTTATATAATGTATAAGTCTATGGGAAAACAAGACTCAATGTGGGGACAATTCAACTTAGGGACACTCCTGATGCACCAATTATGTCCACATCTGGTGGTCTCCCTTTTAATACTGGATGCCTCAAATTTAGCCAGGTTTGAGAATTTTTCCACCAACAAAATACTTCATTAATATTTTAAAATTGGGACATCACACTTGAAACATTTGATTATTCACATAATGGTTTTAACTTTCATTGCTGACCATCCTGCAGCAAGTCTCATGTGAGGGCAGACATGTCTGATTCCTTTTTACATGTATATTGTTCTACAAATCGTACAAAAGATTTCAGAACCCTCACAAGTTTCCCACCTCACTTCATTAACATATTCTCAATTGAATATAGATCTCTCATTTGTCTTATTGGCTGAATAATCAAAGCTGTCCATATGCAGAAAAGCTCATCATTACATTCTTCATGAAATATTTAATAATTCCTCAGCATCCATCAGTGACGTTAAGCTGCTGAATGGTAATATAAAGAAATCATCTCTTTATATATTATTATCATATTTATACAGCAGTATTATATTATATTATCATTATATTATTTATATTACTAGCATTTTGGTCAATCTGAGCAACTTGGTCGCCTTATACAAAATCATATAGGAAACTTTAAAGAAAATTATGGACTCTAAATTTGAGTCCCCAATCGAAAATGGGTGATGGTGCTGTTTTTCTGATATATGTGATATTGAGTGGTGCAGAATTTATTCTCCCATATCACCACAACAGTGGCAAGAGTATGGGATGGGAGAGTCATTTGAGCTGTGCTGGGGATGGAGATTGAGTGCTGGAAGACAGGAAATCTTTGCGAGAACCCATGTTGGAATATTTCCAAACTACCCTGCTTGTGATTTCAATATATGTGCTGATGTTTTGAAAATGTGAAAATTTAACTGTGTGCATATACCTCCTCCTATGCGGTTCAGCTGTGCATGAATATAGTTGGTCATAAAGCGGGACAGCACTAAATTTGCACCGGTATTGGCAAACTTGTTGAGGCTGGAAGAAGGGGGTGTTTTTTTGCGATCAGACATGCATGGAATTGATTATGGGAAGGAGGGGTCCGGTTGACTATATACATAATGCTGTAACCCAGTATAAAAGCCACGCCCTGCTGGTCAATTTGTGCAGAATATTTCCGCGTTTTGCTGGTGACTGAAGGACATTTGAACATGCATCTTGTCTATACCCCTGCGTTCCTACTTATTGGAGTGATTATTGTGCTGCTGCCTTCGCGCGCAAGGTTCCATCATCCAAAGTGAGTAAAGCGTTAATTTGTATCCATGCTGTGCATTCTATTGGTACGTGCTGGTTCACATATTGTTGAATCCGGGTCGACATAGATCATTTTCTGGCTGGTATATATAGGTCTTGGAAAATATTTCCAACTTTTTGTTATTCTTCAATTCACGTAATTAAAACATCCCACCAGACAAAGCTCGAGACAAGCTCGTTGAAACGATAAGTATGGAAAGTTACCCTTAATGCTGATTTCTACTGGTTCGTTCTATACCCGCGCGTATTATGAAATAAATTCTTTGTCCAATCAACGATTCTGATTTAAATATTGTAAAGTTAGCTCAGGAAAATCTCTTGCATGCCAGCTTCAAATTTTACGTAGCTGAGTTTTTCAAGTTTGTTACACTGTACACTACTATAGCTGCTGTTTATGTATGTATGATTAACGTGATGAATCTAATATGATGAGATTACATTAATAATACATTTATGGTTCAGATTTGACCAGCATTAAGCAAGGGCCAAATGTTTCAATTGCAAGTCATTTTCAGAAGATAGGGATGTGATATTGAGTGGTGCAGAATTTATTCTCCCATATCACCACAACAGTGGCAAGAGTATGGGATGGGAGAGTCATTTGAGCTGTGCTGGGGATGGAGATTGAGTGCTGGAAGACAGGAAATCTTTGGGAGAACCCATGTTGGAATCTTTCCAAACTACCCTGCTTGAGCTTTCAATGTGCTGATGTTTTGAAAATGTGAAAATTTAACTGATGTGTGCATATACAGTACCTCCTCCGATTATATGCGGTTCATCTGTGCATGAATATAGTTGGTCATAAAACGGGACAGCACTAAATTTGCACTGGTATTGGCAAACTTGTTGAGGCTGGAAGAAGGGGGTGTTTTTTTGCGATCAGACATGCATGGAATTGATTATGGGAAGGCAGATAGGGGTTGGAGGGGTCCGGTTGACTATATACATAATGCTGTACCCCAGTATAAAAGCCACGCCCTGCTGGTCAATTTGTGCAGAATATTTCCGCGTTTTGCTGGTGACTGAAGGACATTTGAACATGCATCTTGTCTATACCCGTGCGTTCCTACTTATTGGAGTGATTTGTGCTGCTGCCTTCGCGCGCAAGGTTCCATCATCCGAAGTGAGTATAAAGCGTTAATTTTTATCCATGCTGTGCGTTCTATTGGTACGTGCTGGTTCACATATTGTTGAATCCGGGTCAACATAGATCATTTTCTGGCTGGTATATAGGTCTTGGAAAATATTTCCAACTTTTTGTTATTCTTCAATTTACGTAATTAAAACATCCCACCAGACGAAGCTCGAGATGACAAGCTCGTTGAAACGATAAGTATGGAAAGTTACCCTTAATGCTGATTTCTACTGGTTCGTTCTATATATACCCGCGCGTATTATGAAATAAATTCTTTGTCCAATCAACGATTCTGATTTAAATATTGTAAAGTTAGCTCAAGAAAATCTCTTGCATGTCAGCTTCAAATTTTACGTAGCTGAGTTTTTCAAGTTTGTTACACTGTACACTACTATAGCTGCTGTTTATGTATGATTAACGTGATGAATCTAATATGATGAGATTACATTAATAATACATTTATGGTTCAGATTTGACCAGCATTAAGCAAGGGCCAAATGTTTCAATTGCAAGTCATTTTCAGAAGATAGGGAGAATTTGCTCCCTCTATTTCGAAAATTCTCGAGGAAAATTGCGCGATGAAGTTTGGAGAAACTTATTTGAAGTATGGTATTGCGTTTATATACTGTACTTTAATTGCTGGTCACTATGGTTGATATACTGGAAGGCTGAGTTGAAAAGCCGCCTTTTCTGCTGCGGATCTAATTTGAGTTGCCCTTATTCATCTTAATGCTCTGAGAAAACCCCTGAATTGGGCAGATGATTTTAAAGAAGTATTTTTTGATTTTTAATGCACAATAAATTTTATTATTGGTTTCGCTGCCTCTCTTGAATTCATATTTTCGGAATTATTGGATGACGAATGTCGCTCTATAGTTGACGTTGAAGTGAAAGTGAGACTTCTTTGAGCAGGAGGCCCATCATGCGCCATGCATCATATATACGGTGGGGCCCCGACATGCGGACCCGCCAACGCATAAGGACGAATGGAATTAAGGACACTTCGAGACTCGGAAAAATCTGCTGGGCAGACATTCGGGCAATAATGTCGCAAGTTACGGAAACTGTCAGAATTTATGGACGAATTGAAAAATTCTATTTACAGTATTTCAAAATTTGATACCTCGAACAATTTTAACTTTATGATCACAAGAGTTGAAAATAAATTTTATTTCATATTTCACTATACTGTAATACATAATCCAAACGGGCTAATTTTGTGCTGCTTTTTCTGATATCTTTCCAGCATTCCTGCGCAGTAGGATATGACTTGTGCGTATCAGCGTATTCTTTGCTTTTTGGACTCCTTTTCATGCCAGAAGATCAGATTCTGTGTGGGTTTTCTTCTGAACAGTTTTTTTCTGTACCTCAAAGTTGAGATAAATTATTTTGTTCAATTTTATGAGGGACGCTTCCTAATTTTTGATTAGCAAGAGAACCAAATGAATACAGTACTATGTATTGTATATACTGTAACACCAATGAAATACTCTATGAGAGAAAACGTGATCCGAGATGCGGATGTTACCACATTGAGACAGTAAAATTACAAGCACCATCAGCGATGATGTCCGAATCTCGGGGCCTTATACATTCCATGCCTTAAATTCCATCAAGATTTTGGTGGCGGCAGACAATGGGGAAACTATTATTGTCGTGTGTGGAAATGGTGGTGTTTTGC